CTTCTGACCCCACGCACTTGCCACGCCTGCAGCTGTGTTGTTACAGTTGAAAGTTGAAATTTTATAAATCTAAGTAGTTAAATGTAAATTTTAAAAATTTCGGACAAAATCCAGATAGCTTTTCCTTTATCTACAGTCTGACGAACTTTTTAAAGGCCAAAATAGAAATATATCTCTATAAAATAAAACTGTTCTTTTTTATATTCTTAGGTGTAGCTCCCACACGGTCACACGAAACATCATCATGATGAGTGTTGACATACGTATTTTACTTAACTGTTTTTGCTGTTCGTTATATCGCAATCGTTAGTTTTATAGCAATGACTTTTAATATCAGTGACTAATTGAAAAATGTAATCATAATAAGATATAATAAAAAAACCAAGTCAGATATCCCGATAGTCTCCCGTGCCGTGGAATGTGACTACTGGTTCTTTGTTTCTTGGAAACTTTTCGCGTACCGGCAGACGATGGCTTGCGTAGCGTCACACGTTGAGTAGCACTGACCTAGGCTACTCATTACTACAGATATGTACAAATAATAATATTAATATTATTAATAATAATAATAATAATAATAATAAATTCTCGATAAATTATCCAAGTACAAGGACCTAGAGATTGAAATTAACAGGATGTGGGGACAGCAGACTGAGACTATACCAATAGCAATCGGAGCACTGGGCCTCGGCAGAAAAGGAATGGCCAATTTTACTAACAATGTCCATGGTGACATCAACATGCAAGTTGCCCTACTAGAAATATCCTACATACTAAGAAAAGTGCTATCAATTAAATGACAATTCTCCAGAGCCCAAGGACCCTAGTTTGGACCCAGCCCTACAGGATACAAAGCAGGAAACATAACATACACAAATAATAATAATAATAATAATTAATAAATAAATAAAAATATCATTATTATTATTATTATTAGTGTTGTTGTTGTTTTTATTTCCTTTGATTTCTGGCGTTTACACATTTCTTTCCGGGTCCCGCTCAGAGACCTAAGGTTAGAAATGGCATCATGACACTTTCAACTGACAAAATATATATATATATAT